TTCTGAGAAAAATTAAGGCTCATGGTATCGAGGGGAAAGTTTTAAATTGGATAAAATCATGGCTCACCGATAGAACGCAGAGGGTCAGCGTAGAAGGTGTTAAATCTGAGTGGGGCCCACTGTTGTTCATAATCTACATTAACGATCTAGATACTGGGATCAGCAGTGACATAAGCAAGTTTGCGGATGACACCAAAATAGGGCGGCAAATTAAATCAGGGCAGGATGCAAATGCATTACAGGAGGATCTAAATAAACTGCAGGGGTGGTCTGAAAAATGGCAAATGAAATTCAACACCAGCAAATGCAGCGTACTTAATATTGGAAGAACAAATACTTATAATGTATACAGCCTTAACAACATCAACCTAGAGAAGTCGCCTTGTGAAAGAGACCTAGGGGTACTTGTAAGCCCGGACCTACGGCCTAGAAAACAGTGCGTTAATGTTCGAAATAAGGCAAACAGAGTATTGGGTTTTATATCTAGAAGTGTAAGTAACAAGAGTGCAGAGGTCTTATTGCAACTATATCTTGCGCTAGTCAGGCCGCACCTCGATTATGTGGTTCAGTTCTGGTGCCCCTATTATAGAATGGATATAAATTCACTAGAGTCAGTGCAGCGAAGAATGACAAAAATGATTCCGGGACTTAGAAACCTTCCATATCAGGAAAGGTTAAAGAAACTTAACTTGCATTCCCTAGAAAGACGAAGAGTGCGGGGAGATATGACAGAAGTATTCAAGTGGGTTAAAGGAATCAATAAAGGGGATATAGATAAAGTTCTTATAATATCCGAGCAGGATAGGACTCGGAGCAACGGATTCAAGTCGGATAAGTTTAGGTTTAGGAGGGAGACAGGAAGAAACTGGTTCACAAATAGGGTGGTGGACGAGTGGAACAAGCTTAGCAACTTTGTAGTAAGTGCGGGAACTCTGGAAAGTTTCAAAAGGAGGCTAGATAGATTCATAGATGATAGAGAGTGGTAGTAACTCTCGACAGGAGCTGCCATGCGCAGGCCAACCGGCCTATTGCAGACTCCTTATTTTCTTATGTTCTTAATTCATGCGGGAATATCTCGGCAGCAACCGTATCTGAACTGGCAGCTTCACCAGTAATCTTAATATTATGGAAGTTATAACGGTGCTTAAAACATTGAAACCATCCTCGGCTGGCCGAAAAGTTCTCTTCCTTTGATCCTTCACCTAGCAGGATATTTTCCATCTTTTCAATCACTGAACTTCCAGTACGACTTGTCTTTGTTACACTCAGAGGACTACCACTTCCAGCACTAGCTTTAATATTGTCCGTGTTGGTCCGGATAGTACGCACAGTTGTGGGGGTTAGACCAAGCGCACCAGCAATGTCCACTGCACGTTTCCATTTTCCAAAACGGCTTAAAACCTCCATTTTCATAGCAAGGCTAATGGTCTTACGTTGCTTCTTCACAGCACTAGCATCACAAACACTTGATGGGCGCTTGGAAGCCATTTCGAATGATTAAAGTACAGAATTACGAGCAAAAACACTTGAACATGTAAGAACGCTGTGGAAGCCTAACAAAAACTGGCGTCGCTTGGGTACGCTGTGTAACGTTCTGCGAGTGAGAGGTAACGTGCCAAGCTGAGAAAGCGTAGCGTGGCAAGATGAGAAAGGGTGATGCGCCATAAAAAGTAGTCCGTGACGACGCAAAAACGACGTTATATTGAGTCGTCGGGACGTTATCCAAATTATTGGTATCAAAAGAGTAATGACGCTATAACGAAACAACGTTCACGGGCGTAACGTTAAATGAGGATTTACTGTATACTGTAATGTTCTAACTGTAAAGTATACAGTATTTTATTTAGTTTAGCAGTTACCATACAGCAGTTAGGTAGGTTCTTTGTTGTTTGTGAACCAATTTAATTTTATTTTAGGTATAATATTGGGGTTTTCTTGTTGGACAACTAAACCTAAATTTTCCCATTTATTCCGTTATTTGGTATCTGAAAATTAACTATCCAAATGGTTTTCAAGGAACCTAACTATTTAGAAAATGAGGGAAACCTGTACTTTTTTATGGGCATTTACCCCTAAATATACAGTGAGCTGTATCCACATTACCCCTAATGGGTAGTCGTGCCTATGGGACCCACTTTGTTTTCACTCCTACATAATGTGTTATCCATATGTGCCCTTATGAATTATAGCTCCACTATTGGATGCAAGATAGCCTGTGCAATAATATGGCATTGTTGGAACTGCAATATGGCCTAACTGAGGGAATACTGACTACAGGTAGAATCTTGATTTAACAGCACTGGATTTATCAGCAACTCAAATTTAACAGCGAAATTTACAGATCATGAACTTGAAATGCCCGCTCGTAATTTCCACTAGTTAGTCTACCTGCTGCAACGCTCCTCTAGCGCTGCGGTCAGTTTGTCTTGGCATTGAAGTCCACCTGGTGCTGTGCTCAGTGCCGGATTTAGACCTGTGGAGGCCCATGGGCAGCCTCTTTGTGGAGGCCCCCCCTCATTATAACTACCCGGTACCCAAGAGGGTGGGGTGGCGAATGAAGCGAGCCTAAACACAAGCATCAATCGACTCTCTCTCACTTGCACTCTCACTGTACATTTGCAAGACATGTTCTAGGAAATGACAACTGACAAGATCATTCATCACTGAGCGGCAACGACTTCACTCAACAAGCACACATGACAATTCTCTCTCTCATTTTACATCTGCAAGACATGTTTATATCTACTCGTGGGAAGTTCACGAATCACGGGCGACGCAAGTCTCCTCTTTAATCGACAGACACATGACAACCCATGTGCAGATACTACACGACCCAACCCCCTCCGACCGACTGTCAACAAACACAGCGCCCTGATGGCATTCGTAATGGAAGTGATAATGAAAAAAATATTTAATTTTTTTTTTAATCTCAATTTCGTTATTCCATGTAGTTCATTTTTAATCAATATATGTTTGTGGAATTCTAAATATATTATTAGCAACACAAACAATAGCATTCATTAAAAATATACAGTTCATAGGAAAACCAGGTATTCATGAATTTCAAGGAGTAGCTAGCCTAATTTCTATCACGCTTCTTGCTGAACATAGTTTTACGTGATGGAATAGATAAACATGAATTTTAAAGAATGAAAATAAAAATAATCCAACTAAATAAACAAATAAATAAAATATTGTAATATGTGGAGGCCCCCAGATTGTGGAGGCCCCTGGGCAGCTGCCTGCTTTGCCCACTCCTGAATCCGGCCCTGGCTGTGCTTGTGTGATCGTCTTAAATTTATACTTTCTTTGGAACAATTATGGCCTCTAAGCGACCTGAAAATTCTACCAGAGTTGCTAGTAACCCAAAGAAGAAAAGAGTTTCCCTGAACATTGTGAAGAAGGTTGAAATATTATAGAAACTAGACTGTGGAGTGTCTGTCCGTCAATTTTGTGAAATCTATGGTGTTGGTTCCTCAACAATTTACGACTTAAAGAAGCAGAAAGATGAATTCCTTAAGCACTATGTGGACAGTGACACAAAAAAGGGAATGGAAAAGCATAAGCACATGAAATCTGGGAAACACAAAGATTTAGAAAAGTGCTTGATGCAATGGTTTTGTCAGCGATGCAACAACAGTTTATAACTCTCAAGTGAAATAATTATTTAACAGGCAAAGAAATTTCATGAACAACTTAAAGTTAGAAGTTCCGTGTTCTTACTTCAAAGGGTTGTAACGATTTAAGTTATGCCCCCCTCCTATACTTCGATTTAATGGCACGGTCCAGGTCCAGTTGATACCGTTAAGTCGAGGTTTAACCTATACCCTAGTATGATTAAGAGTAGGCAAAATGAGTAGAATAGTAAACATATATAAAGTAAACAAGACAAAACAACACCCAATCTTCTCGTGTTTGTGCCTCTTTCACGTGACTTGAGGGGCAGGAATAACCTAGTTTTATGTCTGTTTCTTCTTGAGAGAGTGTCTCTAGGCCTAGCTCTCACATTACCGTTACAAAGTGGCTGCCTCCCCTCCAAGCCATAGTAATTTTTTTCTTTTTAGCAACCATTTCATACAAATAACAGTCACTGTTATACACAAATATTTTGAAACATCACCAGCACACTATTGTATGACCCAAATCACTGTGGTTGGGAGGATAATCCACAAATATACAGGTTGTGGCAAGACCATAGACAGATACAGAGTGTACACTCATGAAGTGGACAGAAATACTGAAACTGTCAAGTATAATGCCTCATTACTGGGTTAGGGAGGGAGGGAGGGAGGGACTCACACCACTTGGGTTGCCACACCTTATCACATGTCCAATTTTTTATGTGTTCGGCCCAATGGTTGATTTGGGGGAATAGTTTTCTCTATCAACGTAAGTCAATGCTAAACAGTGTCCAAATCCAGGAAACGTAGAGATTTTATTTGTCGAGATCCAAGAAAAGTGTTAATATTTTATTTGGCTAACCCCAGACAATTTTGCTCATGGGGGGTCAAGGAAATAAATTTGGTAAAAAATCACCATATGAGCTTTTACCCAGAGGATTATTTGATTCTACCAACCTTTTAATTAATCACAGAGTACAGACTGACAAACAGATACACACACATACTAATCACTACAGTATTTACCCCACCTGACTAAGCGGGGATAATTTAACAATAACAAGAGGAAAGACAAAGATCGGGTGTACTGTAAATGTTAGCCAAGAGTGGTTCAGTAAATGGAGTGTCACCTAATAACTGTAATTACTGCTAAATAGAAGGATAAGAAAAGGTTCTGTAGTATTCATAGTGGCATGAAGGTGAGACTACATATCAAAACTTTGAGAATATTGAAGAAGAGACAGACAGACAGACAGACATACACACACACACTGTACAGTACAAGGGAACAAAGCTAATTATAACAGAAAAAACTGAAGGTTTTAATATCAAATAATAGTTAATGAGCTTCATCAACTCAACATGCATAAATATACAAACCTTATAGTGTTGGCACTGGGTAATTACAATTCTGGCGAGAGCTTTGATACGCTGGTAAGGCATTGGAGATTTGAGAAGCGCCTGCAGCAACTGAATGCCTCCCTCCTCCTCAACTAAGGAGCAATATTTATCAGCTGAAAAAAAAAATAAATAAATAATTCAACACTATAGCTCAAGATAAGGCACTTCCATATGAGTGCAGACCACACTCAGAGGCAGCCCTTTATGCCAGCGAGCAGTGAGGGCACATAACTGATTGATTGATTGAGTAAAACATCTGGTGTCACAACCTGTGGCCACTTGACGCCGAAAATGAAACGTTTAATTTAATGGAAACACCCCGGTACCAGTGTTGTATGTTGTGCTGTCATGTAAACACCCCGGTACCAGTGTTGTATGTTGTGCTGTCATGTAAACACCCCGGTACCAGTGTTGTATGTTGTGCTGTCATGGAAACACCCCAGTACCAGTGTTGTATGTTGTGCTGTCATGGAAACACCCCGGTACCAGTGTTACATCTCAACCATTTCCGTGTTCATCAACTAATACTAGAAACTGCAGAAAAACACCAGAGTGCCATGTAACTCACGGTATACTCGCGTGAGATTGGCAAGTGCCCAAGCTGCCCAATGTTGACACTGAGGTGTATGATGAACTTCTAGAAGTCGCAGGATGGGTTCAAATGATCTGTGAAATGAAACAAAATTATTACTGCTCTATAATCATACTACTTCTCAAGTATTAATTATGCATTATCATACTCAAGTAACTGGTACAGTATGTTGATTTATTGAAGTACACAATAGACAAACTAACTGGTAGAATCATCAAAACATGTTTCATACATTACAGTTGGCAGACATGAATACGAAGGTAACTTTGTCCCTCTTATTGTTTCAGGAAGATTCAAGTAGGTAAGCAGCTTTAATTTAGAATGTTGGAAACAACAGTAAGTTCAGTAATGAGAAGCAAAAAAAACTTGTAGATATACAGAGACTACAAGCCTTTTCTTGGCACTGGGTACAGTACTAGGTAAATAGGGGAAAAATATTTACAAAAAACAACTGAGGGATACTGGAGTAGCGAAGTCTCAATAAATGTATACCTGTGAACACGGTAGCTCAAAATACAAGAATATGAATTGTTATAGTCACCTGAAATGCCTGAAATACAGTATATATTTCACATGACACAAGGTGAAATAAAATGATTCAATTCACTCTATGAGACGGACGAACCTGTAATTGATATTCCGCTTTGATGTTAAATCCCACCGTTCTATTGCTGCCACCATCCTCTCTAACACCTCATTTCTTGTTGGGCGATCTATGGTCCAAGCCTCCAGACCCCCACTTGCAATATGGGACAACACTCCTGCAGCATTGTAGCTTACCTATCAGAAAAAAAAAAATATGATAAATATGATTATGCAGTATTACAGTATAATAATATGTAAAACTGAAACAGATTTTACCTGATAATAAGACATGGAAGTGGATTATTACTCTTTCCTACACCTTTATCCTCTGCTGTGTCTTCCAGGTCGCATTATGTTCTCCCTTCTGTCCTTCCATTCCCTGTATGTTTTTTAGGTTCACCAACTGGCCATATCCAACATTCATTCAATACATAATATATTACTTCACATCCAGGTAACAGGTCCTCAGTTCTTCCCTTAAAAATCCTAATATCTTCCTTCTGTAAAATGCCACTACAGTATTGCAGTTAGTAGTGTTGAAAGAAAGATTTAACATGAGTATTGTATATGTAAAGCCACTGTAAATAAAAGCTTCAGCATATTGGACTTCAAGAAAAGGATATGTTAACACTGTCACAAATCTTTTTCACAGTAAATACTTAATATTTCACCAATTAATATAATCTTAGACAATATGAATATTGAATAGATGAATAACAAAGCATACATGAGTGAGGTAAAAAAGAAAAAAAAAAAGCAGAATATGAGATAAGTGGAAGAAAAAGAAGATAAAAACAATGAACAACAGAAAGACAAGATTACTGTGCTGTATACCGCATGGTTAATATGGAGGAGTGTCTGGACTTGTTTAAGGATAGAATGAATGTAGACATTAAAAGCATTACAGTATGTCATCCTCCTGTATTCTGGAACTCAATTCATTACAGTACATAAGATTAACTGATACACAAACATATATACAGTACAGTATAGTATCTACACACATGTATTATACATACTGGTCAGTGAACACATCTGTACAGTAGTTTCCTCATGCTAAAAACCTCCCTCTTAACCCCTACACCCCGGTTGATGTTCCGAAACGTCCATCTCGGGCGACCCGGTTGACATTCCGGAACATGAGCCTTTTCGCGCCATCGTTTGAATGCCCAGCGCGGGTTATTAGGTTCCAGCATGACTATTTGGTGGTCACTCCACACGCAGGGTAATGTGGGTGGGCTCAGTGCGGTTAGGACGTGTTAGCCTGTCGCCACGGAGTCGTCCCTCAACCTGGCGACAGACTGTGACACTTTTTATGAAAAATAATGCAATTAAAATAAATTCTAAATGAATTATTTATAGGAAATAAGTATTATGAACAGTAAATATATGCATTACTGCCATCCCAGACACAAAGGCAAGCAGAAAATGGCCACCGAGTGTGTAGTGACCACGAGCACTCTGTCAAAACAATATTGTCCCTTTATCTCCCTCGTCACTGCGGCCCCAGGGAAGTTTCTAGAGGGTCAATATATAGTTTTTATTACTACCTTTTGATGTTTTATCATTTAAAAAGGCTAAAACTTATTTTTGGAAAAGTTAATTTTTCTCGATTTACTCTGCGTGGGGGTATGGCCAGCGACACCCTAGCTCGGGAAGTAGGGGTTAATTACTGTAAACTATATACTGTACCTGTATACTAAAATTTAATTTGGTGACTTATTATACGACATTAATCTCCCAGTTAGCCAAAATCCCTGGTCCCCGGAATTCTCCAATAGCCGGAATTGAAAATGAGCTGGAAATTTTCCAGAACAACTCTCTCCATTTCGGGTATGGGAACGAGTTTCTGAAAATGAAGATCAGGCACATTTGGAGAAGGGAAAAAAAAAAAAATAAAAATCTCCCCAAACTTCTCCTTTCTGGGGTGGAAATTTTTTTCCGAGAGTTCCTAGATACTGCATCATGCTCCAATGCATCCTCATGTGCCATATGCATGAGTAGCCTAGCTGCTTAGCTATATTCTGCTGCCACTGAAGAAGGTTGTTCTCTTGCTAGCTGCTGTATTTGCAAACAATATGTGTTGTGCAGTTCTGTACATTAACTGTACCAGATCATAATCAGCCAAGAATACAGTTTTAAGACATAGAAAGTGGTTACAGTTACGTATAAGGTACTGTACATTCAGTAAATGTGAAATTATCAAATGTACAGGAAAAGGGAAACACTGGAGCCCCTTGGCTTTCATCTTTATTCAAGACATCATTCTTCAGGTCATGAGGCCCACTAATCCCCCACCCTGACAATGGGTAACCTGATATTGCATCAGAAGGTCAGTAATATGAGACCACTAATTCCCCATTCCACCTCCACCACAAATGAGAGAAGTTTATATACAATGGATGACCTGACATTGCATCAGGTCAGGTCAGTAACATGAGATCCACTAATCCCCTACCCCCCCCCCCTCCATCACAAGTATTAAGACATAAAAGGTGATTAGTTATGTATTACATTCAGCAGAGTGTATGATCACTGAAGGTTTTAAGGTGATAGCATCTGCTGGTGAGCACAGTATATACAATACAGTAGTAGTGTACATTATCTTGTTTATTTACAATACATTGTATGTTTTACAGAGGTGTTTGCATATAGAAATACTGTATAGCTCTTGTATCTGTCCATGCGAGATGTGTAGTTTAGCCTTGGGGAAAACTTTCCCAGTACAGAGTGGAAATTTCCACACAGTTCCATTCATGCGGGTGTCCGTATCATAAAAATTGTTAAATATATTTATGTAAACCATACTTTTAGATAAACTATTCAGGATTATTTTGATAACTAAATGGTGTTTCTAACTTAATTAAAACTTACTTTGCTGACTCCAGTGTCAACATTTCTTACATTTTTATATATAAAAGAATGAAGTCCCCATCATTATATCATGTCAAAATATTTTGTTTAAGGATATTTTATTGGATGCCTTGTAGAGAAAGTATTCAGGATCATTATGGTAACAAATTCATCTATCTACCGTACACTGAGCGTAGGACAAAATCGCTGCTCAAGACGTAGTAGTTCTACTAATGCAAGCCTAAGGGTCTAATTATCTACCAAACATAGCATTTGCCCAGGAAATTAATATCACATCAGAACTCACCGACGAAAATATAGCAAGGAAAGAAACATCAAAACAAATAAAGCGGCAGAGGGTATCTTGTCAATATTAACCCATATTTCTAATCCAAGCAAAGCATTATATTAACTTGCCTTGATCCCAATGGTTGATGGTTTGTGCCCTAACAGTGAATTACCTAACTAAACAATTGAGAAAAAGAGGATGATTGAGTGTAGTGCTGGCTACAGTGCCACCTTGTGCAGTTAAGACTAGTACTGTATTCATTGTTGTTAATGGATCATTAGTCCTGTTGGACCCACTTTCACTTACCATACTCATAAAGTATACTTTCTATATATAATTAGTCCTCATTGCCTGGCACACATACAGAAGGCATAAATTTCGAACAAGATTGATTATTCCTCCAAACAGCTGTTGGAAATAAGAAAAAAAATTCTACTGGTCTCTACTAACACATCTGTCAACAGAATACAGTATTGCACTGCAACTCCATTAGCCTTACCTCAATCCCATCAGAGTTGGAGTCTAGGAGGTCAGCAAAGGTTGTGAGAAGTTCTGAAGTCATGAGGCGACACCTAAGGTCCTTCACCTCAGCCACATTACCCAACAAGCCCATCATGTTTCTTAGTAACTCAGGCTTGTCAGGAAATTCCTACAGAAAAATGTCAAAAACCTAAACTGGGATGCAAAGGAATAAATATATGTATTTACTATTTCATAAAATAACAGAAACAGACTATCAAAATTCAAAAGAACATACCTTAAGACACTTTTGGAAATAGGTCATACCCTGGCCATCTAGAAACCGCAAGCAGTTGACAGGAGTCTCATCAGTAACATTCCACATGGCAGACCAAGCAATTTCTAACATGTCATCGTGCATGTGCCGATTCAACCTGTCATTTATCAGCCTCAGCATTGTCTGTTGATGAAAATTTAATGTCACCACTGATTAATTACTAAAAAATAGACTAAACACTCAAGACACCAAAACAACATTAATTACCATAATTCATACAAGCGTGAGAACCTCAATACAGCCACTCCTCGACTTACGACGGGGTTAGGGACCCAAATCCAGGTCGTAAGTCAAATTGGTCGTAAGTCGAAAATGCGAAGATAATACATAGAAAATCTTAAATGGGTGTCTCTTTTTCTTCTCAGCACCACAAAACTCTCACTTCTAAGCATGCCAGCCATTTTAAAGGGTATTACAAGTAAAAATTTTGTCAGTACACAGCGCAATCACTAATGTCGGGACTCGAAAATACGTAATTTGAAAAAAATTTTGGTACGACTGGGGCGGTAGTATGTCTGGGTGGTCGTAAGTCGAGGAGGTCGTAGGTCGAGGAGTAGCTGTATTCTGAAAATTAAAATATATATTGACATACGGGTGTTCTGTTAAAAGTTACCCCAATTTTTTTTTTTACAAATACACCAACAAGAATTGAGGAACAGTTTACATCAGTTTCCAGAAGACAAAGATGGCTGCCTTAGAATTCAATCAATCAGAGTACCATCCTCATATCTGAGGGTTGGTGACCACAGTCCTCCACTCTAAAAGTTTTAGGGCTATTTTTACCAATCCTCTAAGGTTTTGTATATCTCTAGGAAGCCAGTTTTTAATTTCAATCATCCATCCCAACCTCTGCCTTCCCCTTTGCCCATTAACATTTCTGTTATTATCCCCTCATCCCTAATTATATGACCAAAGCATCTAATTTTTCTTTTTCAGTGCATTTCAAGTATTTCTCTTAAGTTCTTGCTGATGTTAGTGTCATGGTCACAGTGACATGACTGGTTTGTTTAAACCTAACAATTCACATTAAGCTACCACGCCCACAAAACCTGTAAATCTTTCGAGTCCTCCAGTTGAAACATTCATTCTCTAACCGCTTCAGCACAGATGAAGCATTCAAGATCCTTTGTGACTGATGTTGAAAGCTTCAATTTTATTTACTGTTAGTGAAATTGTCAATATAAGTCAGGGTAGAATCTATTGTAAGAATGAGGTATCATTGACGTCGTCCCTAGAGATGCCGGTAATTGTTAACCGAGGCTGAAGTCACCTCTTTTTCACAAATGAGCATCAGAGAATCTGATGTTCATGGTGAAATTGTTGTAAGTATGTTAATTATGATAGTAATTAATTATCCTGAAGGGAACTGTCACGCCACGTATCTCTCAGAATCAAACGGGTGTAACCTAATACTCCTTGTCTTATGCTCCGCTCACCAGGGACTGCCAACCTGAACCTTAAAATCAATTTAATTCTTGTCTTCGATAGCTCATTCAGAGCGTAGTTTGAAAAGTGAATCTTCGGAAATAAAAATAAGTTCGTAGTCTCATTTTCACACGTCAAAGTAAAGTAACGTAGTCGTTGATGTTATTTGGGGCGAGTGAGACTCTGAGGTATGCGTGGGAGGGAGGGAGCGGGAAACTGACGCTCTTGGCCCTCAGTCTAGCTTCTGAAGCCCCTCCACCCACAGGTAATGTCCAGTTCCGTGTTATACTTCACCACATTAAGTGATTTTGACTTAGTTAATTGTTTGAATATGCAAGTGATACAGTGACGTAACTTTGATGTGTTTCAGGTGAAGTGTTCTTACGCCCTCAACGCTGACATTCATGTCAACAACCTGAGTCTGGCGTCTGAAACCCCTCCACCCACAGGTTCCTCTCAGCGAAGAGCCTTGTAGATTGGGACGACCTCCACACTAGTTTGGGAGATGGATGAAGGCCAGTAAACTCGGGTAAATTCGTGAACACGGGTGTGGGGAACTAACTAAGTACCTACCTACTCTGGGGCCCAGTCAACTGCCCAAACGTTCGTCAGATGCATTCACTGTCCAGCCTGATGATCTCACAGGCCGAGCAAACACTGCCAGCACCCATCATTGTTATGGATAAGTCCACCACTCAGTAGGCCTATGTTTTGGCTGTGTTATTCATCCAATTACCCATGTACATGTATGCTGAAAGGTGCTATATAAGAGTAGTGTTGTGTGTTCTTGTAAATTTACACCCAGTAATGGTGTAAGTGGAGAATGTACCTAAGCTTAACAGTACATAATGAGTAAAGCCAGGGAGTTGACCCATGTAGTTGAGTGTTACTGAAATTATTCTTAAACTATAACTTTACATTAATAAACCATTTTATTTGTATGTTAGGAGTATCATTTACCTGCAGTATTTTACCATCATTCTTTTCCTTTGCTTGATGCCAGAATTACAGTGTACCCATGTGTACTAACCCTCGAGCCATGCTACCAAAGGTCAAAGGTTATGAAATAACTTAACTAAGCTATAACTACTATCCATACTTAATGAAATATGAAAAAGGAAGAAGAAAAAAGGTTGAAGAGTTTAAAAGTTAATAGCAGTGGGATAAATTAATAAGAAAATGCATCAAAGAAATCCCTCCCTTACATTAGTACTTCTTCATTTGTTATCCTGTCAGTGTAGCTTATTCTTAGTCTTCGCCCATAACACCACATTTTCTGGTGTCTGCTGAAAGTGTCCACGCTTTTGACCCATACATCAGTCCTTGGTGTATAAAGCCTTTCAGCAGCTTTTTTTTTTTCAAATTAAAGTTAATGTTCCTTTTCATTAGCTCTTTTAGATTATTAAAGGATGTTTTTGCCTGCCTAATTCTTGTTTTGATTTCTTCTGTACATCTACCATTACAGCTAATGTTACTTTCCAGATACAAAATTTTTTCCACTTGTTAAAGTTCCCTGTTACCTGCCATAATTTTCGTTTTAGGATTATTTCCAATTTGGAAACAACCATTACAGTACTTTAGTCTTTACAGCATTAACTTTTAAAATATATTCTTCACTTTTTTCCACTAATCTGTTAACGAGTTTTGCAACGCCTCTTCACTATCTGTGACAAGAGCAGTATCATCTGCATAGCATATATTTTGTATTACTGTACAGTATATTATCCTTAACTTTTCCTCCTTCATTAAGAATTCTGAATATGTTTTATACAATGTTGGAGATAGAAAACAGCCTTGTTTTACTCCCTGTCTAACTGTGAACCATTTAGTAAGTTTATTATTTACTAACACTGCAGCCTTCTGTTGCCAATAGTATTAAACAACAACAAAATATACAGTAAGATCCTCAAGATTACGTACCCCAGGGATATATATTGCAATGAACCTAACAGCTCAGTGAGTACTTATACAGTACTATTGAACTACCCACAATACAGTCTTTAAACAAAAATATAAGCTTTCTTTGTCTTCTCCTAATTTCTATATTTTTTATAAAGGGGAGGAGAGGCAGAGGTAAGACAAAAATGACGTGGGGATAAGATGAAAGAAATGACATTAAGAGTTAGGAATTTGACAAGAGAGACTACTGCACTGTACAAGAAAGCGCATAGCATGGTGAGTAAGAGTTGAAAATGGCCGTAAAATTTTAATGATGATGATGAACCACATCACCTGGCACCTTCAACTTCATCTCTTATTACTCTAATCAGTGATAACGTTCTCTCCAAAATATCTGGAATACCTCACTTTCTCGATTCTGTTTCCATTCAGACTAACACTTTTCCTACTTCTCTTCTGTTTTTCATTCTCATCACTCATCATATGTATTGAATGAAGTTCTGCTCTTCATGTAGCAAAATAAAGAAAGAATCTAAGGGTATGGTAAGCAAACCCAGGATAAAGGAGCTTACTGGTAAGATTAACCAACCCCAAGCATGCACTACGTAGCTATTGTTCACCATAATTGACCCACAGAGATGCAAAAATTTTAAACCCTCAAAATTATTATGGATACTGTATACAATTTGACCCCATAATTTTTACATAAAAATTTGATCATAAAAACATGAACTATATTATCTTGTGGTTCATTGTTGTTATGGAGCAACGTGACGTGGACCACGCGGTCCCATCCACACCACAACAACACAGTTGCGGCACTCAGTCTATTACTCGGTGCAGACGTGCCTGTTGTCTAGTGACGTATAAACAACACACATTGTGAGAACAATGCCCAAGCAAGTATGCTTGGGTATGGCCACAAAGAGTAGAAAACACTTTACCATGTGTGATCCACTTCATCTCCACTGAAAGTGGGTACCATACACACCTGCAATGCCACTGATTCATGTAATGAAACTGTAAAAGTTGTGGGAAATCATTTCAGTCCTCTAATGTGACTTAGAAATAAAGTAAATGTAATATAAATCAATAAAATTTAAAAAAATGAAGAGCATGAGTGTGAACAGTATTCTGTGTAGGAGGTGAACGTATGTATGGACTATGGATTTGTTACACTCCCCTCAATGTGACTTGACGGCATACACAGCTGGCTGGCCGAACTTTCACTCTTGGAGTCACCCATAGGATGGTTCAAGAGTGGAAGGAATTATTTTTTGTATATAAAATATGTACTATTATATTTTACTATGTGCTATGTATTATTTTTACTATTTATTATATAAATTTTGAAATATTTTTGGTGTATGTAAAATAAAGAATAACGAAGGATTGGAAGCTATTCCATTTTAATCATTGTTACATCTACCTATGAAAATTAAATGGATTTCGTGAATATGTCCATTTCATTGCCAGATGTATACTGTACACATCCACTTTACTTCACACTGCACAAGGCCATCCATGCCACATACATATGAACGTTGGGACTTGGGAACCTTCCAAAATCTTTTTTGCAGCTCTGAAAGCTTCTAGAATCTAAAACCTTACTTACATTTATAACACATTATATAAAAGACAAACAAATAACTAAATTTACAGAAAGTAAATCATTAAAATTTTTATTTTACTTGAACTAATTTATTATGAGCTTAAATAAGCCAGTCTGTGTTAGTGCCTCCCTGCTGATATGGACGTCCGAATAATGGAATCCGTCTGATTAACGACATTGCTGTGGCTTAATTGGTCTGGTACTCGGGTTTTTTACTGTATGTCAAAATCATTTTAACATAGGCAATTCGAGACTTTCTATCCAACTTTAAACTAGACTAAATTTCCTATCTTATGACACCAGTTTCATCACATACAGTATGGTGGGCTATGGAGATATGCATGTAGAAAATAAGTTATGCCAACTTTAGCTTCTTCACACATCAAGAAAAGTGACGACAAAGTATAAATTAATACATAACAAATACTGTAATTATTATGACTTACTTCAATAGCACCAAGGTCCCCGACTAATTCCTTCTGCTCCCCATCCACCTGACAAGCCAGAGAGTTCAGGAGATAAATGGCAATTCGACGTACAAAGTCATCCCCGTCACCTCTTCCTCGGATCAACCGTAGTAGCAACTGTACCAGACGGCGGTACTCAAATAGCTGAAAATATGATATATTCATCACCCTATAACATAAAGGTTGGATATATTACAGCTTAAGAAACAAAACAAAAAGAAGCTAGGGGGTTAAATCTTAATTTTTTATTTGTTTTTTGCAAACTCTCTAGTTTACAGAATTTAAAACAAAAACTATAGAGATCTAGTTATAAAATTATAACACTGAGTACTTAATGAAAACAACAGAGTCAAGGAAGGAATGAGAAAGGAGTTACATATACATATCAGAAGGAATGAAGGAAGATAGGGACTGCAAAACACATTTCAAACAGTTAAATATCAATTAACTAAGAGTGTGGAGGGATAGGCCTCTATTTTAAAACTAAATGGATACAATTACAGACAGGAAATTGCATGAATAACAAGTACTACACTGATTTACATAAGTAATGTACATGCATTATTGCCAAAAAGGTGGAAATTGAGTAAAAGTAAAAAGAGAAGAAAAAAAAATTGTGTGGTACACTTTATGATGTTCACAAGTCTCCTAAAGCTTGATGCCACAACTGGCAATAAATATTTTACCACATCTTGAGGTATCCTGAACTGGCAGAGGGTGAGACAGCCATTACGCATCATGGTTGAGTCATCAAGATGTGTCTCCATTGCATCTAGCAACACTACTATCATCTTTTGTCTTGCTCTCACGTTTAAGCTATTCTTATCCTCGCCCTTTGCAATGTAGAACAGCGATGCACTTTTCAGTGGAAGAGAAATGCACAACATTACTTCACCATCACTACAGTGTAACAACTAAAGACAAAAATATCATTAACTTACATGTAACGTGTATAAGATGTTACAGGTTTTTATGAACTAGAAATACTGATAATGTAATGCACTGGTAAGAATACAGGTAATAAGAAGCTCTAACTCATTTTAAGTAGTATACCTTCCAGATATTTGGATATGTTTATCTTCACGATGTCTCAACATAGAGAGCAGGATTAGGTTCAGTGCCCTCTGTTGATCATGACAAGTCTCAAAGCGGAAGATATGGAAAAGCTCATTTAAAGCCTTGACCAGTACCTCTGGTCTGTCGAGATATGCAGCTGTAGCTGCCAAAATTTGTTCTTCACTTGCATCACCCGTGATCTAGAAGTACAGGAATATAAATTAATGCTTTACCACTGAGTAAATGATTTACAAATAAATAATAATTATGAAATTAAAGTTGTTCTATATTCTCCGTCCCTTTTTTTACTGCAGTTATCCCTCGCTATTCAAATGATCGCTACACTTCTCCGTTACTATTTGAAAGTGATATTCGCTTATACAAAAATTGATCTGATTGATAATTCTGATTGCACACGCGCGAGTCATCTGGGGTGGGTTAACATCACCCCCCTCCCTCATCCCTCACAGCATGCCATTCACTTAGCATTCTTTCATGAATTTGTACATAATGGCATCCAAGTGTTGTGTTGATTGCTTGGCTACTCCCATCATTATCAAGAGACCCTGTAAGCCTGTGATAATTGAAAACAAGCTTGAAATAATGATGCCATGTATGCGGGAAGACCCTAGCAAGATCAGGAGAGACTTGCCTCACAAAAGATAATACACCAATTGTATATACAGTAATCCCGTGTTTTTTGCGTTTTTTTTTATCACGGTTTTGACCATTTGCGTCTTTCTTACTAAAAAATTATATACAGTACAGTATACAGTGGTCCCTCGGTTTACGAACGCCTCGGTTAACAAAATTTCGGTTAACGAATTACCTTCCATAAGGATCTCCACTTCGGTTAACGAAAAACTTTCGGTTAACGAATTCCTTACGAATTTTTCCCAACATGTTTTCGCCTGCTTTTGCCTGCTCACCAGCTGTAGTATTAGTCCGCCAATACAGTAATCGGTTCTAGGGCTTAAATTCGTTACCATTTGAGTAAATATCAAGAAGGTTGTACTATTCAATAATTTTCCAAGTCTTATATTAAATTTTTTAGTCATTTTAACAATTATTTAACATACATGAAGTACAGGGAACTAGTTTTTAGTGCACCAAACAGCCACTTGACTCACCCAAAATGGCGTCAGTGTGTGTCCCTGCTCAGTGGAGGAAGCATCTTGCTTGAGACTCTCTTGAACATAAACTATTTTTACGTCCTCGACTTATGACGGGGTTAGGGAGCGATGACCAGGTCGTAAGTCAAATTGGTCGTAAGGCAAAAATAATACATAGAAAATCTAAAATGGGTGTTCTTTTTCTTCTCAGCACCACAAAACTCTCACTTTTAAGCTTGCCAGGCATTTTAAAGTGAATTACAAATGAAAATTTTGTCTGTGTACTGACTTTGGGACTCGAAAATACGTAATTTGACCAAATTTTGGTATGACTGAGGCAGGTCGTAAGTGCGGGTGAATGTAAGTCGCGTAGGTCGTAAACCGGGGAGGAGCTGTATTTGAAAGTAATAAGACCTGTTCCATGACATAACTACCTATAGCTTTCTCTCTCACTATCCTGCATGGGTTACTTTCAGATTAACGAGATAGACACTATACTGCATAATATCATGAAGGCATTTAGAAAAGTAATAATGTTAAAGTAAATGATATTCACTTCTAGGCATTCAGATTAAGGAAGAATTAGACCCCCCTTATTAGATGTCACATTGTCTCACAATATATGGTCGAGTTGAGATTTACCTGAGATACCTGAGGATTATGGGTAACTGTAATTTAAAGGGTGTGTACACGCCTCTGGCTTAATGACCCCGCGATGTCTCATACTGATCTCACTCCCAGCCAGACGTAAACCCAGTAGTTGCAGGTCTAGCAAAATCCTGCTAGTGGGTAAGAAGTCCATGTTACTAGACTTCCCCCACTTGAATCAAACCTCTCACTCACACACTAGAGGGAGACCTGACGACCATGGCGGTCAGTAAGCAGTCAGAAAGCAGCATAACCTGTCCAGGATGGCGACAACAATGCACCCCTGCCGGCTCATTCCTGTGGAGCTTGACGCAGAGAAACCCTACAGAGAGAATGACGTAGTGTCGCTGCCAGCATGCCCTACTGTCAACTTGTGTATGCCGGATGCAGAGATGTCCCCAGCTGGGATCCTGTCACCATTTTTCCAGCCAAGCCGCCAGCCCGACGACACCATCTGGTGGATTGCTGGTACCACAGTCATCAGGTTAGAAGCAAACATCTAGGAACAACGGAGCCGACTCGGCGCCTCTCTGACCCAGGGGCCTTGTCTTATTTGGTTGGGTAGGAAGGGGCTGACCTTAACTGTGTTGATCCGAAGTCAACGTGTTGGCTACAGTCAGCATTTGCAACGTCCAAACTACTTGTTAGCGATAGCTGCTAGAAGAAAGGAGGAGGAGGAGAAGTGAGAAGTGGATGTCCAAGAGGAGTGACACACACTGTCCTGGAAAGCCCCTGTCCCGTTGGTAGCTCTATTAAGGATCCGCCCCAGAGGCAACAAACCAATGTAGATGTGTCATGCCGAGCCTGATGGAGTGAAGGAAGCGTGCAACGGTGCAACACAACAGTTCACGAAGGTGTTAGTACGAATGGGATGGTGGTCACTGTGGATATGAGTGATGCTCTGTGTCCTGATCAGAGTTGGAGGAGAAGATTCTTGTGGAGTTATGAGAAGAGAAGGAGAGGGTCCTATGTCCTGCGGGATGGACATTCCCAGTGTTGAAAATTGACTAACTGGCCCCCCCCACCATCGGAAAAGCTCCCGTTCCCGTTATGAATTCTGAAACTAGGCCGCCCAGTATGCATCTACCATCGTGGAATGAGGCTATGCTGCTGAAATTAGTTACCAGGGAAGAGGTACAATCGATATGTCTTATACGAGTAATTCTAGGCAGTTAGTACGTAGTGGATAATGTAGTAAAAAAAACTCCACGTCTCCAGAAACGATTTGTTCACTCATAGCAGATGGAAGCTGAAAGGCAGTGAAAAGTAAGCAAGTGTCTGTGGACGACCTGCCATCTGCAAATGTTAACTCTATATCTCTGCCTGTTGCCCGATGTACCATCATCAATTGTGAGATGAGAGACCGACTGAACAGCAGAAAATAAGATATACAAAGTGTGTATGTGAGATAAGATCCATGATATATCAGAATGTGCAATGGAAAAATACGTATATGTGAAATTAATTGAGAGAATGAAAAAGAAAATTTTAAGTAATTAAGACGAGAAGTGAAGAATTCTGTTTTGAGAAATAATGTAAATTGATGTTGAAAATTGATATATTGAAATGTTAGGAATTTTGAAATTGATGTTGAAGATTCATGAAAAGTTAAAAAATATATATTTTTTTTATAAAAACTAACGAGAGAACTAAACAAAGAAAATCCATCTTCTATATACAGTGGTCCCTCGGTTAATGAACGGTTCGATTAACAAAATTTGGGTTAACGAATTACCTCCCATAAGGATCTTCAATTTGGTTAACGAACAAAACTTCGATTAACGAAGTCCTTACGAACAAAACGTTTTGTTGTGAGCATCAGCTGATGGGCTAGTCTGCCAATTCAGTAATGTGTTCTATGTTTACATTCGTTTCCAGTGGAGCAAATATCAAGAAAGTTGCGCTCTTTAATATTTTTTTTCATTTTTTATATTTAAATTATTAGTAATTTTAAAATTTAGTTTACATATTGATAATATAAGCAGTACAGAGAACTAGTTTGTTGTGCGCCCATCAGCCGCTTGACTCAGCCACCAGGCGTCAGTTTGGCCTTGTTGACAGTGGAGTGAACATCAATTTTGTTGGTGTCTTGAATATTTTTGCATTTTTACATTGAAATTGTTGGTCATTCTGAAATTTAGTTAACATATTGATAATATATAGCGCAGTGCAGTGTTGATTTAAACAAAATAGTCTTGAATTACACCTAGTGAACTTAAAATTTTATTGGTGAAATGACGGCATCAAGCATGTGTCCCCTGAAAGGTGATTTCTCCTCCATCCCCACTTCCTTCTTTTCTCCCTTCTCCTCCACTCCCACTTCTAATTCCCATCATCATCATCAACCAGGAACCTTCTACATACACACCTCAAAGTAAGTATACTTTACTGCATTTTTTTTTTTACTTTGTATGTACTTTTCTGAGCTGGAACCAATTACCCAATACAGTATCCCATTGAAACAATGGATTCGGTTAACGAACGACTCTGTGGAACGAATTGTGTTCGTTAACCGTGGGACCACTGTACATTCGTTTGTGCATGACTCGTAATTAAGCCTTTTGTTTTTTTCATTTGAGTGATTTTATTATGAATATTTTCCAGTAATTTGATTTCTCATTGATTTGTATTTTGAGTTAATACCTGATTGATCTGAATTTATTAGAGCATTTTGACTTCCCATTATTACTGATTTTTATTTTTGAGTACTTTCATTGCTGATTTATTTTATTGAATTCTCTATCATTTTAGTTCTCATGATTTTGTGTGATTCATATTTGAAATATTTTTATGTTTGTTTTCAACAATTTCTATTTTTTCTTCTTAAATACGGAAAACATTTTAATATTAATTTGACATTTACTTTAAATTATTTTCTTGCATTTGTGATATCTAGCGAATTAAAGTTTGATGTGCAAATATTGAGAAACATGATTTATGTTGTCAATTTAATAAGTTAATTAATTTTACATATACCGAGCTAGGATTAGGAATGAAAATTTGCGAAATATATTGTGAACATCTCACAAATTTTCATATAAGCGACCAGGGGGGCTTGTAACAATGTGATGAGTTTCCCGCCAATTCCGAGACAATAGTGTGAAGGCCTTAGGCCTGTTTTCGACCAATGAGAGAGCCTATGAGGCGTGATGTCATGAAAGTTGTGGCGTCTCTTGTAGGCTGAAGCGGTTTGAACAGGAGTCTGTGTTGGAATTTTGTGTAGGGAGGTGTGTGACGTCTGTGGTGGCGACATGGCAGGTATTTGGGTGCATTCTATTTGGTAAATCCTAAGTTCCCATTTGTTGTGAGATACGTGGTCCCCGTTTAACTAGCTAGGAACATAGGTTTATTATTTTGAAGTGTAACTGTTAAACCCTAATATAAAGTATTCAATCAATACAATAATCGTTAATAGGAGTCCTAATTCATCCCTCCCTTATTAAGAGTGATGTGTTATAGATGTCTTGGTATTATGCAGTAGTACGGTGAGTCATATATATATATATATATATATATATATATAATAACTATCCAATGTTTCCCCTCTGTGAAGTGTTGTAGCTTGGTCCCCCTTAACCAGCCTCCCGGCTGAGTCTCCCCTTGGTGTAGGCCTTTCTAGCCGAACCACAAACGTAAACAATTACCCTTTCACTACCTCCCTCACTCTCTCCACCTCTCACGAGTATAAGTAAAGAAAGAAGTAAGATTAAGTAAATAAATAAATAAACATAAAGAATAATAAAGACAATATAAGAGTAAGTTGTTACAGCATTAGTGACCACTGGGCCGTGAGTGGAGAACATGGCATGGTTAAGTGCATGACCTACCTGAGCTGTTTGGTGGCCACAGGTACAGTGATTCCTAAAAGAGTACGTATTCGCGGTTTTGGCTTTTCGCGGGGGTTTCAGGAACGTAATTCCAGCGAAAAACATGGGATTACTGTACATATTTTATTTAGTTCATTCTGTAATTTTTTTTAGTTATAATACAGGTTGACAACCCTTTTTCCGAAATTCTGAAAACCGAAAAGCTCTGAAAACCGAAAGTCTTTTTTTTTTTTAACAGGGATTAGCCCACCCAGGCATAGATCACTGACCCACATCGGGGCCTGGGGGGCAAAAATGTAATAGTAATAATAATTATAATAATAATAATTATTCATAGTAAATAAAAATTTTAATAAAAATACACCAAAATAAAATAATACTGATAATAATAATAATAATAATAAAATTAATAATAATAATAATAACACTAATAATAATAATAATAATAGAAATAATAATAAAGATCAAAAGTGAGAAACATGACCTAGACCTATGAATTATTATTATTATTATAATTTTATTATTCCCCAATGTGGGTCAGTGATCTATGCCCGGGTGGGCTAATACACATTAAAAAAAAAAAAAAAAAAACTAACCATTCTGAAAACCGAAAAATTCCGAAATCCGAAATGCTTCTGGCCCCAAGGATTTCGGGGAAAGGATTGTCAACCTGTACTGTGTTTTTTGTTGTTGTTCATGTATCATTTTTTTAAAAGGTATAATACTGTATTGTTTTTTGTTGTTGTCTGGGAACCAAATTCTATTTTTCCCATTTACTGTATTTTGTTATTTGCTATCTGAAAATTTTATAACCAATCTGCTTCGAGGAACCTAACCCATTCATATAGTGAGGGATATTTGTACCTGCAAGCTAACTAACTATTCTTGTGAAACACCTTTCCCGAACTGCTGCCTTTACCCCCTCAATCTATCATATTCTTCCTCTCTTACTACATCCAGTCCTGATACTCTCGCATACTCTGGCAGCTTCAGGTATAATGTTCTTCATTCTTACACTTAACTTGCCAACTTTAATTCTGCTCAGTTCTTCATCTGCACTTCTGTCCAAACTGTTATGACTTATAAAAGCCTGTAGATTACCAACACATGATCAGTTAACTCTTCACCAAAAATTCTCCTCAACCTTGCATCTTATTCTACTGCTCACTCATCCTCGCAGTCACCAACAACATATCTATCATGCTTCTGTCCAGCCTCTCTTACCAGTATCTGAGTCATTCTGCAGTAAAACTGACAATTTCAGTGAATAATAATTGTTCCCATCCCAATAAATTGAATGGATCATTCCTGGAAACACTGCAGTGTGTTTGTGTTAGCTGGTAGCACACAAGGCAGTATTTAGTGATGATGAGTTTTGCTACCTGGGTGACATGATCAATGCTAGAGGTGGTGCTGAAGTCTGCTCAGTTGCAGGAGTCAAAAGTCGTTGGAAGAAGTTTAGGGGAGTTGCTGCCTTTATTGACAGCAAAGTGAGATCTTCATGTGAGAGGAAAGATGTATGCAACTGGCGTGAAATGTGTGATTTTATATGGCAGTGAAACATGGGCAGTTATACACAGGCTTGAGTGAGCTAAAATGAGAATGGTGAATGAGATATGTCATTGACAGTATTGACAAAGTTTTGCATAGAGGGAACTTTAGATGGTTTGAGCAGGTGGTGAGAATGGGGGAGACCAATTGAGTTAAAATATGTACAAGTTTGAATGTGGAAGGGAGGAGAGTTAGGAGTAAAACAAGAATGACATAGGAAGAGGTTGCAAGAAATGACCTCAAGTCAGTCACTCTTTAGAACATAAAGGGCATACATGGTATCTCCTCAACAGCCACACCCCAAGGCAGAAATCAAATGAATTATGATCTCACCACTTTAGCAGGTATGTGATTTCTGTGACAGGCATCATGAACAGTGTTGTACAGCCCCAAGAACTCCAACGGGCTATTTATGCGACTTCTAAGACCTGGGATGTCACACAGGTCGGTCTCCATTGTCACATCACACTTAATTTTCTGGAGAAAAAAATATATTACTATTAATATGAAAAATTAAACAATGATTACAGTTATTGAGTCATTACAACTTTTGAACAAATTAACATGCCTTCACTGTCCACTACCAATAAATGCTAAGGGCAAAAGTTAACATTTCTTCATTGTTCTACATTTTGCAAACTTGCTCAGTCAGCCCTACATTGGAAAACTTCTGAATTAAATACAATAGATGAACAAATAATAAAAATAATTAGGTAATTATCTACACAAAGAACATCAACAAATATAAGTCTCATTTTCTGCACAGAGATAGGCAACCAAGGCCCACCATTCTAAATTTTTCTGTACTAAATCCACCAATCACACATTTTATGAAGTGTATAATATCATCAATCTTCTCCAACAGTCAGTTTATGTACCAAAAGGATAAAAAAAAGTGATACTGTTCTTATTATTTATGAGTAACACGATTTCTGCTTCACAGTTTCCTGTTAGCTCAGAGTCTTTAACTGTTCAAATACCTCCAATTCCTAGACAAAAAATATTTTCACTAAAAAAATAAGAAAAAAAATAGCAAATGAGGATTCAGCTCAACATCTCAATGTCAGTTCTTATCAATAAACTGATGTCAAACATTGTCAATTTGCTAATGAGTATTGGTAACAATCATTAACTGTAATTTACAGGTAATCTAAATAGAGTACTGTACCTATTGCTCGTGTCTTTTACATATTAAAAGTTGTTTATTCTGTGTTTTCAAGTGAACCTGGAGCTAACAAACTTTATGAAAATACAATACTGTACAATATTAATTTTCATTTCCAAATCTTTGCAAAATTCTGATATGGTCATAAATCTCATCTCAGTACAGTACAGTACAGTACTGTACTACTGTACTGTACTCCTCACTGCACTCATTTGGTATCTAGTCATACTAATAACCATTACATTTAATTCCACTCATCTTTAAGTGTTAATTATTTGCTTCCTGTAAGTTTTAGATGATATTTTTGTTTATTCTGTTAGAGAATTCCAATATTTTCACTTCTAAGACGAACAGTGCATTTACTAAGAGAAAAAGTCAAACCCCTGACTCATTCCCACAAACTTAAATATTTTTTTTTGGATGAAAATCCAATGCAAGTCTTTGTCAACATGATTCAATATCTTGGTTGTGCCATTTAAGAGCCCTAACTACTGCACTGTACAAGTATCCTCTGATTTATGATCTCCCTATCTACGATAATCTACTTTAACAATGGTGATCTATTAAGATCACCCCCCTATTTATGATTTAATCAATCCGCATGAACGATGGTTACCGTCCAGCCAATGTGGAATATGGAACGCATCTCTCTGTTCACTTGTCAGCTGCGGTCTACCCGCCACATTGCCACCCAGTGCACTACTGTACCATGCTTTGATCCATGGTGATCGCATATGGCTGTGATGGTGGAGCTCAACAACTATTGGTCAATATCGGTGTTGTTACTTATCAGTTTTTTTTTAACCTTACATTGAAAGGACATCACTAACATTCACATTGCACTCTGTTTAGGTGACTGTTAAGTGAATTTAGCTGCTTTTATTAAACTGTAAAGTGCTTTGCCTCTGTTGTTTGTTGTGAGCATGATGCGAGCAGTGTTAGCTGTTATCATTGTTTTTATGTTATCATTTATTAATCTGTTTTTGCGACAAGTGCTTTCGCTCTGTTTTTGTGACTGTAAGGTGAGCTGTGTAACTTTGAAAATGTCTGGAATGGCCAAGGCACCCACGAAAACAGTGTCTCTAGAGGTGAAGCTTGATATTGTGAAGTGGTATGAGACTCCCCAGAGGCTGTGTGCGAGTCAGAGCGATGTCTCCACTCCACCTTCAAGAGTCCCCTTAGCTTCGAAGGGGACATGTAATGATGACCAGGCTTGTTCTTAATGATGTGGTGAATGTTGTTTAATTGTGCTGTAGGTATAGTATTAGTGTAGGATTCTTTTTCGGTGATAAAAGTGGGTGTCAGCCTGGCTGGGAATGTATCCCATTAAGCCCCATGCTATAATGATTCCGATTTATGATATTTTGACCTGCGTTAGGTTTTTCAGGAAGGTAACTCCCATCGTAAATAGGGGGATGTCTGTACTGTACTCACTTCCTCTAACTATTGGATGTTGGTTATTGTGTTCTCTTACTCAGGAGCTGATACACTGGTTCAACATGTCAACTCACTTCCCACCTTGATACATCGGTTCAACAAGTTAACTTCCACCAAACAAACAGCACATATTCAATTATTTTTTCATCTTGTGGGGAAAAACTGTTATAATATCTGTCAAAAGAAGGAATAAAACCCTGGTGATTTAGGCCACAAATGACGAAGGTTGGCTGTACTTTCGCAGCAGTTCAATGAACGTAGAGCCAGTATATTTGGAAGTTCAATTTTATAAATACAGTATGACAAAAGCATGCTGAAAGTATAAAGAATAAATAACGATACTAGAATGTAAATAAGTTAAGATTATTTCAAGAGAAGATTGGAGAAAAATAAATTCATAATAGGTAAAATAACTGTAATTGAATATTTCTAAGGTAATAACAGTTTGGAATGCTCGAGTTATTGAAGGGCAGGTATTTATTATTTTAACGATTTATTTTTAGGTGAAATTTATGGGAGAGTTTATCCCTCTTGACATGTCTAAAATTTAATTTAATTGAGACAGAGTTAAGTGGGCCATATGTTCACCGCAGTGTCTCCTTATCTGACACACGATGATAGGAGAGTTAAAACATGTAGTGTGTGTCTAGTCTGCATAATTAATAAACAATAATGCTTGATTACCTCATTAGTGTCCCTGTATTCATCAAAGGTCCCATCCCCTGACAGATTTGTGCCAGAAATGTCAAGACTAGTTAGGTTGGGTAAACTTGACACTAAGTTGGCTAGAACATTGTCTGGGGAGTCAAACACACCGTACTTTTGGTTGGCTTGAGACACATCAACGAACCTAGAAGAGAAACAAACATATTAGGTCATCTCAAACAGTTAAGAACAAGTTTAAATGGTAGACAAGAGTATTTCACGTACTATAGTTCTAATGTTTTTAAATTTCAGCAAGTACAATATATCAGGAATGTAGCTACTAGAATTTCAAGCAATTAAAAAATCACCGCAAGGTATAAAAATTAAAGGTAGAACAAAATATTTTAATGACTGGTAGCTACCCAAGTAGTGTGGAGACTTAAGTTATTTATGAGATCACTATTTTTCCTGTTCACCAAGTCATACTGAACACGATCTTACTTTGTTTACGGCATATCCTTTACCCTTTTAATCTATAGCAAGTCATGGGAGGAACTATGCTCACTATTACACAATAATAAAGTATGTAATCACCACAGATGAAATTATCCAGTAATTTAAGATCATGCAGATTGTGAAATATCCCACCTCTGCTTGCCTTCAAGTATGACACAACAGTTGATAATGTTAGCAGTAGTTATTTTGAATGCTGGGTACAAAAACAGTATTTTATATGCATATTCTAAAAACAGTTCACACATGTACAGTAGTTAGTTATACACTAATATTCCTTATATCCGGACTGATTCAGCCCAAACATGGACAAGATAAGTCTAAAGTCCAGATTCTTCTGCCTACAAACACAGAAACAATTCAAATTAACTAGATTTTATAACTCACCACACATGTTGAGTGATGATGGTGAACAAGGGTTGAGGCTCAATGTACAGTACTGTATTATGATATCATGATACAGTAAATGATACACAACATGATACATCAACATCTCCAAACTCACATGCTTACACTTACCATAGTACTTCCTTCCACTTTTGTCTTTAAGGTTTATATAATTAACACACTACAGTATGTGGAGTACAGTGCAGAATAAGATAACTTCTCCCTGTACAACAGCATAAATGACAAGATGTAGGCCTACTGAGGGAGAGGAGTTGAAGCCCAGTTGATTCAGCCAATGATATGACCATAAACCCTCTCTATTTATGGTATATACTCTCCTTCTCACACCTCACAAACCAGGGCTTGTCAGTGGACTCTTTTGCTATGGAAGCCAGTTCTGAACGAGTCCAGACTTTTCATACAAGCTGGTTTGAAGTAAATCTGGATTCATGGGGTTTTAATGTACTGTATATACATACATACATACATACATGATTGTGTGTATTTATAATGGACCGTGAGAGTAAACAAGGTTTGGTACCATAGGGATAGCTCTTCTCTAGTGAACTGTTCACTGCATTTGGGAAGAAGAGGAATGTATTTCTAGACACCATTAGTTCTTAATGCCCCCAAAATTATAAATTAAGTAAAAAGGCTTAACTTTTTCTCCTTCCTTTGGTCACTTCCAGAGGTTGATTACTCATCTATCTCCATCATTTTCCTTCTTCAGCCTCCTCCACCCTCTGCCTCATGTTTTGAATATTTCTCTCAACCTTAACTTTTGTCTCCCCTTGGTCTCCTCCCTCCCTCTGAATGGCTCAATACAGAATCTTTGATCACTTCTCATCCCCATGTTGTACCAGGGGACAAAACTTTGTCACTCACAATACTGAGCATAGCTACAAGTCATTCCTGTCCATGCTCTCAAAGCTACCTCTTTCTCAACATGCCCCCGAGCCATGATTCTTATACAGGTTGTACCTCTCTAATCCGGCAACCTCGGGACCTGACCGGTGCCGGACCATGGAAATTTCCGGACCGTGGAAATTCACCCGTTTCCTGGATAGACAGTGACTTGTGCTTACGCTTGGAAGCACTAGCACCACTTTCTCTGCTTCATGGTCTCTTTGAAGACATACTGAAGGGTTAAATGTCGTACAGTAGCTTCTCAAATTTCGCGAGTTTTTAATTCAACGTATTTTATTGGAACACACAAAAAAAAATAATTAAAAATTTAGACGGCGGAAACTCGAATTTCGACGGGTTTGAACGGCTCACCAACGTTCAGACGTGCACAATCGAGTAAACAGCGTCATTTCTCTTATGTACAAAGGATTAATTATTGTTTATTACTGAATGTCTTTTTTATTGAATGAATGTTTATGTGTGCAAAATGAGCAATGCAATTCATTAATAATACGTAGAATATTAAAACACACGAGGAGACGAAACGGCTTTGTTTTCGTTGTTTACAAAACCAGTGACTGACTGGTTCTACATATAAAACTGAAGAAAATAAGACCCTGGTTGTAGCTGTAGTATAATTAATATGATTGTTTTAAGTAATGTTATTTAATGTTAATAAATGGAACAATAGAAGTAGCTAACGATACTGGTAAAGAAAAAAAGAGAGATCGCGTATGTAAGTGCGCACATGTGAAAACATAACGTCAATACTCTACATAAGAATATGAAAGCAACACTTATTTACCGTTCATATATATTTTAATTAATGTTTCTGATTTTTTTTTATTGAATTCATGTTTGTGTGTGCAAAATGAACAATACAATTCATTAATAATACGTGGAATATTAAAACACACGAGGAGACGAGACGGCTGCCGGCATTGTTTTCGTTAATGCTTACAAAACCAGTGACTGATTGGTTCTACATATAAAACTGAAGAAAATAAGACCCTGATTGTAGCTGTAGTATAATTAATGTAAAAAAACTAATATGGTTGTTTGAAGTAATGTTATTTAATGTTAATAAATGGAACAATATAAGTAACTAACCATTAATGGTAAAGAAAAAAGGTGAGACTTCTCGTATGTAAGTGCGCACATGTGAAAACATATCGTCATTACTCTACATAAGAATATGAAAGCAACACTTATTTACTGCTCATATATATTGAAGGGTTAAATGTTGTACTCTGTATAGACAAGCAGAGAGAGAGAGAGAGAGAGAGAGCAGCCAAACTGCCGGATGTAAACAAACCTTAATTTCCCGCGGCTTTGTTGTTGTTTTTTTTACGGGGATTAGCCCACTGGGGCATAGGTCACTGACCCACATTGGGGCCTGAGGGGCGAAAATTTAATACTCCTGTAATAATAATAATAGTAATAATAATAATAATAATAATAATAATAATAATAATAATAATAATAATAATAATAATAATAATAATAATAAAAGAAAAAAAAAAAAAAAAGCTGCCTATCTACCTATTGGACAAACTAAAATAGTTCCGGACCACGGGAGTTTCCGGACCACAGAATGCCGGACTAGAGAGGTACAACCTGTACTCTACTAATTTGCTGTCACTTGGAATCGAGTATGACGATCATCCAGCTATGATACAATGATATGAGTTATTAAGGATGTCAACCTGGTTGGTGAGTTTTAAGGTGACTAAAGAGGCCGATACGGGATCAGCAGGGTCAATCACAGATGTTGCACATGTGGGGGGCTACATCTAGTGCGGGAGGGGCGGCGGCAGCATCATTCCGGCGTTGGTGCTTGTCTGCCTCATTATGCAGTCAGGCTAACTCGAAAGTATTGACATCTTCTTGTGTGGTGATCCTCCTAGCGTTACGGTGTAGAGTAATCATCTCCCAGGTGAGGGGGGTCGATTTGGTACTTTTTCAGGTTTGTCTTAAGATTATCCTTATAACCTTTACAGTTGCCCGCCATCGTTACATTTACTATTCGTTAGGCGACTGTAAAGTAGCTGCTTTGGCAATCTACTGTCGTCCATGCAGGCAACATGGCCAGTCCAGCGTAGTTGTTCATGGATAATGGTAGCCTCGATGCTCCTACAGTTGGTGTCAGCAAGAATACTGGCATTTGTTCTCTTGTCTTCCCAGCGAACTCGGAGGATGGAATGTAGACTACATTGGTGCAAGTTTTCAAATGTCTTGAGGTGCCTCCTGTATGTGACCCATGTCTCACTGCCATACAGCAGGATGGGAAGGACCATTGTTCGATATATGTGTAACTTTGAAGATAATTTCAGCTCCCTACAGCTGAAGACACGGTTTCGGAGTCTGCCAAAGGCTTGAGATGCAAATCTGATCCGATGTTGAATCTCTTCATCGTTGTCTGCGGTGGTGGAGAGGTGGGAGCCGAGATACAGAAAGTGGGTAACATTAGAGAGGGTAGTACCGTTAAGTTGGATGGATGGTGGAGGTGTGGCTGAACCAGGGGCAGGCTGAAAGAGAATCTGAGTCTTACGTACATTAACCTCAAGGCCAAAGTGTGCATACGCATCTGAATAGGTGTTCAGGATCTCCTGTAGATCGTGTTCAGTGTGAGCAACAAAGATGAGGTCGACTGCATACTGAAGCCCAGTAATGGAAGCTGCCAACAACTTTGTTCCTGTCTGGAGTCGTCTTATGTTGAAAAGATCCTTCATCCGGTGCTCGATGTCCACCCCGCCAGCTAAGTTGGCACTGGCATGAGTAAGGAAGGCAGCCAAGAAAATGGAAAAGAGAGTTATTGCCAGTACACACCCTTGTTTAACCCCCATTTGGATGGGGAAGAACTCAGACTGGGTGCCATTGTGCAGGACACTGCTGTTCATGCCATCGTGGAGTTGCCTCACAATGGCGATGAATTTTGGTGGGCAGCCAGAACGGCTGAGGGTCCATCAGAGGGCTTCCCTGTTGACCGAGTCGAAGGCCTTGGTTAGGTCGATGAAGCCATGTACAGGTCACGACGCTGTTCTCTGCACTTTTCCTGTATCTGGCGGGCAGCAAAGATCATGTCAGTGTTGTCATGTGATGGTCTAAAGCCACATTGAGATTCTGGAAGGAAATCTTCCACAACTCTGGTCCCGTCCCATCACCTTGCTACACACAACTACTTCTGTCTTACCATCATTTACTACCAAACCTTGCCTTTCAAGACTCTCCTGCCTCTGCAATTCTCTTCTCTGTAGTTCCGCCTGTGTTTCTGTCATTAAGGCAAGCTCACAAACAGACATAGTTTCAAAACTCGTAAATGATTAACCTGTACAGTATTGTACTTCCAGAAATTACACACGCAGTCTATATTCATTAATAGATCCTGTTATTGACAGACATAAAGTACATGTGTTATGTTGATAAAACTAAAGAGGCATAATGATCATACAGTTCACAATATAGAATAGCAGAAGAAATATGTAAATTTAGCTCATAAATACTTAGAAGATGGGGATGGCTGGTAGTGGTTGTAGTGTGTGGTGGTTCATGAGGCAGCTGGGAGTGGTGCATGGCAGGTGGGCAGGATTTTCTATTTCTTACAGAGTTTAAAATTTTTCTCAGTTTAGTGCATGACACAAGCATAGAACAAGAGTTACAAAAAAGTGGTGCATGAAGTAAGGTGAGATGTCGCCAGTTATACTGTACATGGTGAAACTGTCCCCACCTCCCATGCACACCCATCATGGTCAGTGAGGTCAACAAAAACTATAAAATACATTTTTCATCAGACCATAATTGACAATTCAGTGTCAAGATATTGCCTGAGCTTAGTTACTCTAATAAAGGGTAAAACAATATCAATAAAATGGTAAACGAGAGTAATACTGACTTTAGAGTTTTCACCTCCGAGATGGCTGGGATAACCTCTTGTATCCTCTGGACACTGTGCAGGTTTATTGAGACTAGATACTTCATGGGGAGGATGTACGTCACATCACGGAGGAAGAAGCAGCCTGACAAGTCCAGATGGGTAAGCTTTGTGAGTGGCTTCAACAGAAGAGCAAAGTACTCTGTTTCTTTCGGTTGAATAAGCTCTCGTACCACCAGCTTTTTCAACTTTGGCGTTCTTAAGATGAATCCCCGTTGTTTGATTTCGCTAACAGGACTCGAATCTGAGCTGTCACTGGATTCTGGTTGTGATGGTGAAAACACTGAGTCTGGCAGAATGTCTTTTGTTTTTCCAATCACTAAAGCTGTCAGACTGTCACCAACTCTATTAATATTTTCTAATGTTCTTTCTGTGAGTTTACTACAGTTACTAATATCTAGCTCTACTAAATGATGAGAAAGTAAGAGATTCAGGCCATCATCAGACACTCCAGAGTTTCTTAAAGTTATTCGTTTTAACCTCGTGTTCGTCAAGTCTTTGAATATATTAATAAACTTATCATCCAGTAACTCTGGATCTCTATCTTGCCACAAGCTTATCAACTTTTCACATATTTCTGTCGGCAGAGCGACACCAGGCCTGAGACGCCACACACCCGTCTCATGGTGTTGCACACAGAAGGTCTCAGGATGGGTTATTACAAATTTTCCACATATATCCAGGAGTGGCTCGGGGGCACTGTCCTCCCAGGGACAGTAAATGTTTATAGTTCCCATTGTCATGTTCGGCTCCTCCTCCTTTCTCCAGTTCTCTCTTAATACTGCATCTTGCTGTTTCTAGCCCTGAAAAAAGATTAAATTTTTGTTAATCATTATAACCCACATTTTCAGAGTCAATAACCACAAGAAGTATGAATAATGTTTCCTGAAAAAGATAAAAGTTTTGTAAATGGTAGATAAAAACATGATTTACACTTGTGTTAAGTGTGGTGAAGCTCTTTACACTTACAGGTACCATCACTCTCAAAACTAAAATTGTCTTATAATATGTTGCCACTAACACTACAAAAGAGATGGAGAGTTAGTCAAAAGAACGGTGAGTTACTAAAAAAAAAAAAAAATTTCAAAGTCACTGCTTAAAAGAACTTAATACAGTATACTATGGTGTAATTTTATGTTTTTTGTGGACATGACAGTAGCCGCCCATACCAAACGGCTCATAAGCATACATTGAGCATCGGCGGCGATCCGGCCTGGGTGGCGGAGTGTTTTGAAATATCTCAATATGATTGGCTGTTTACATCCTGGGATGAGATGTCACTATTGCATTACCACCGAAAAGACAAAGTAGTGTGTGTCTAAGCACTAAATTATCTACCAAATGAAGCATCTGCACAAGAAATGATTATCATATCAGAATTCACTGATGAAAATATAATAAGAAAATAAACACCAAAATAAATAACAAGTCGGCAGGTCAATCGCCAATATTAACCTTACTCTCAAACACATTTCTGTCACCTCTAACTTCCTTGTTCTTCTTTATCCAAGGTTCATATTTCACATTCATACAATAATGTCCGCTCAAATATTCCCCTGTGCAGGTACATCCCATCACAGTTCTCTCTCACATTTCTCCAAGATCTTATTTTCTTCCTCAATAAAACATTCATCATCAATTTTTCCATCCACTGTCAGGTCTACTGCCAGATACTGAAACAGGTCACTTTAATATTTGTACGGTATTCCAGTTTTCCTTCTTCATTTATTTTCACTACAGTAGCGCCTCACCAACCGCGGGGGTTAGATTCCTGAAAAACCCTGTGATTGGTAAATTCGGAGTTAGGTTCCATGGCTGTTGATAATACTTGTCAAAGCCTAACTATGTTGCCTGTTCCTTCACTAAACAATACCTGTACTGCATTGTACATTTTATCAAATTTGAGTCAAATAGTACATATAAAACAGCTTAATAAAAATCAAATACCGTAGTGTAGTAATGTAAATTTTTCCGTACACCTCCGTGTAGAAGGCATGTTGCTATAAAATAAGAAAAATGGGGAGCATAGGTGTGTATGTGTGTGAAGTAGATATATGTAACTTTAATTATTTTTTTCTTTACTGTTGCCATACACACACACACTAGTTCATACAGAATGTGTAAAAAACATAAATGAATGATTACCATAAGGTCAAAAACATAAAGAGAATTAAAATTTCTTACGTCCATGGGAGTTAGTGTCTGATCGTGGGAGGGGAAGGGGGCCTCTCCCTACCAGGCCAGACTATGAGCTTCGTTATTGTTATTTTACAACTTGTAATTTTGGGTAGATATACGTAATTTACGTCATATTTTTTACTCTATTACATGTGCACACAATCATTCATCCCAAATGTGGAAAAAAATGATTGTCATAAGGTTAAAACATAGAGGGAAAAAATATTTCTGAAGTTCAGAGGAGTTAGTGTGCCAATTGTGGGAGGAGGAGGAGGAGGGAGCAGCGTTGGGGATCTCAGCCGTTCCAATCTCCTGTGTCCCAGGTGTTGTGAAACTATTAGTCTTTGGCAATGTGGTATTTTTTATTTATTTATTCCTCACATTTACTGGTACTACAGTATTCATGCGATCCTGGTCCCTAATAGCCTCAAATAATGAGGAGTGTACTGTACAGTACAGCTCCTCCCCGACTTACTATTGGGTTAGGGACCCAAATCCAGGTCGTAAGTCGAAAAGGCTTAAATAATACATAGAAAATCTAAAATGGGTGTCTCTTTTTCTTCTCAGCACCACAAAACTCTCACTTTTAAGCTTGCCAGAAAATTTAAAGTGAATTACAAACGAAAATTTTGTCAGTACCTTGTACACAGTGCAATCACTGACGTTGGGACTTGAAAATACGTAATTTGACAAAATTTTGGTACGACTGAGGTAGGTCGTAAGTGCGGGTGGTCGTAAGTCGAGTAGGTCGTAAGACGGGAGGAGTTGAATATAGAAAAAATAGTGAAAGTTGCCGGCTGGGAGAGCATCCCCACTAATTACAGTGATACTTACCGGTATGGGGTATTCCCTCTCTAATACGTAATAATTATAAAGAAGTTTATTATAAATTGTTTCAACGTGAAACAAATTAATTTTTAACAACAACCTTCTATTTTATCTATGTGATTCAGATATGGACAGTTTAGTGGGGCAAAAGGTGAGCCTTATTCGAACAAATTTTAAATTGTGTATGATAAAAATTAAGAAAAACTGCTACAATAAACAGTAAAACTGATATATAGCACATCATAAAATACAATAGCACATATGAGGCGATGCGTATTTCAGTGATAACCTTGCAAAGATCATGTTTTGAGAAAATGAGCTTCAAAGTTTTTCTACACAAAAATGATAATTATTCAGCTGAATTTTCCCAATACTAAAGATGAACTTGCACCTTGGTACATTGCCCATTTTCTTCCACAGAATCAGAAGAACTGATATTAATAAGACTTGGATTACAGTATTTTATTTTATTTAAAAAAAATTAAAAAAAACCTCCTTCCCCACACTCAAACCATCCACTGGACAGAATTCAGCCGGGCAGTCACTCCGCTGACTCCAAGATGTGTGTGTGTGTGTGTGTGTGTGTGTGTGTGTGTGTGTGTGTGTGTGTGTGTGTGTGTGTGTGTGTGTACAGTACTCAAAACAAAGGATGGTAAACATGTGATTGGCGAGGGATTCCTGTACACGCTGAGATGGCTACGATAAGTCAATGCACATTTTCCCATTTACTTCCATTATATAACTGGAAACTGAGCTGTTGCATCAACCTTGATCTACATGGGGCAAACACTTGAGCTATAGCCGAAACTTCAAGGATTCTTGGTTCCTGTTGGATGTGTTCTGTATTCTTTATTTATTATTACATTAAAACCACCATAACTCAGCACATGTGGGCTGAGGACTTTCTGAGTATTGGGATAGAGTTTGCCGACTTATTGATAGTGAGCCTATATTTATATACAGTATACTCTCGATTTAACGGAGTCCGATATAACGAACTATAAATTTAGCTGAAGGAGATTTTGATTTAACGTAAAGGAGTGGCTCGAATTAGTTCGTTTGTAAGAGGCAGACAAACTGTACTGTGTACTGCACAAGTATTATGTGCAACACTTCACAGGCACAGTACAGTAAATTGTTTTGATGAACTTAACACTACTGTTTGTACTGTACACTATATACATAACATTAACATTTCATATGCACTGTAAATAAATGTTGACAAACTTAAGACTATTGTACATTTTATAGACAACACTTAATACCATCTGTACAGTAACACTTCACAGGCACTTAATTACTGTCAGAAGGTCTACCAGTGACAAAAGGTACACAGAAGCTGATGCTTACAGGGCTGACGGGCTGCTAAGCGTGGGCTTATTTGCTGAGTTTTCGCTCATGACTCGGCTCCTGCTAACTTAGTGCCAATGTGCCAACTACTAAAAAATTAAATGGTTATCTGGTGCCAGCTTATAGGATGCCGAGTTGTGGGGGTTTACTCTAATTTTATTTTACGTTCACATTACAGGGGGCCCCCCAAATTTGCGGGGGTTAGGTTCTCAAAATGGCTGCGAATCGCCAAATCCGTGACTAACATCTGCGGGCCGGGGTGGTCATTTTTACTTGAGTACAAAGAAATGTATATTCCCTTTATGTGTTTGCCCTTAGGGCAATTAATTTTTTTACCTGTAGTATTGTATATGGGTGTGTGTCTACACACACACACAGTCCACACAAAACACATATAGTTGGCTCTTGCCAATAACAACTTCCACAATAACGTTTTCGACAATAACGGTAAGTTACAATAGATACCCATTTTCGATAATAATGTCTGGATTCTCTTGAATAACGGAGATTTCGCGGGAAGCGTCCGAGCGCATCAAAGATAGTGTTTGTTTGCCGCCACGTTGATGACGTAGTTGTCCGCTCCTCCTCACTATCACTCTCACACACGCTCCGTGGAATACAGCGCTGCGCCCACGTGTGAGATTTTCGCCTCTATAACCAGTGGTTGCTAAGGTCGGTGATCAATAATGGCTTCCGCATTTTTGCCTGTGGGGGCTAGGGGAGGTGCTGGAGGGAGTGATTTGCCGCCTGAACGCCCGGGAACTTTTAAAGTGAATGAGAAAAAAAACCCAAAGCTAAGAGACAAAGCCACAAGAAGCGTGTCTACTCGGTCAAGGATAAAGAACAGATTGTTGAACTCATTGAAAGTGGTGCACGGAACATTGATATTGTGAGGAAATTGAACTGTCCTGAGTCTACAGTGTGAAATATTAAGAGGAACTTAGAGGAGACCAAGAAGAGTATTGCGCTGGTAAGAAATATTTTGGTAGTAATGGAAATGCGAGGCAAGCTATGAATGATAAAAGTGATAGAAAGATGATGAAGACACTGATGACACTGGGGAAATGCCTGAAGATTTTGACTTTGCGTGGTTTGATGAAGTGTTAGCGGAAGTGGGTGAACCAGGTGCGAGAGGCCAGAGTGGGGACGGGGACGAAGATGGGGCCAGGAAAGTGGGCGGAGGTTCGACGCAGTAGCCTCGGAACAATCATCACACCAAGCACCTCAAAAACTCCCCCAGGCTAAATGTTATATTACTCAAATTCTTTATTTTGATGATTGAATAACAATTCTTTTTATTTCAGCAAACAAAAAGTGTTAGGAGAGCTTCAAAGGGAAAAAATTGGTGAAATTCTTGGGGCGGCAGCACCAATGAACCCTTTTTACATGTATTTTAATGTCACACAAATAAAGTTTTCGCTAATAACGGCATTTTTCAGGCACCTAT